GACGGAGTGTGACGATGGTCCCGATTGCTATCGAAGTGGGGACAAGCTTGGTACAGTTGGACAAAAGGTCCAGGATATGAGGTCGACTATTTCGTGGGAAAGACAGGTCCGGTATACCGGACCCTTTAAAGTGACCAGTCCAAATAACCCGTTGGAAAGCCAATACTAGATGTTCCTGTTGACTGCTGTTATTTCGCAGCAGTGCGAGACGCAAAAGTCCCAGATGGATGACGAATTGGGGGCAAAACTTCCGCCTCGGACGGGACCCGATCCCGACACGTTACACTTGCGTGTGCTGATAAGGTATGGCACATAAGCCCTTGAGAACGAGTTGTCAAGTGGGGTTTCGGCAATAAAAGGGCAAAGAGTATCGTACCCAGACAGCACAAGCATAAGAAGTTTTGGCGGTTCAGTGGAAACTTGGATATGCGGCCCTGTTTAGTTTCTGTTCGTTCAAAAAACTTCCTCAAAGAGTAAACAAAAGTAAACATTTGGTAGTTGTTGTATTTCCTGAGGTAAGTTTCTCAAGATTCCGGAATAAATAAATTGAATAAATAACTAGAAGGATTTTGGAAAGTCGTAGAGAAACAGAGGAGTATCCAAAAATGAGTATTGAGAGTATGAAGTGGTCGTCTCGTCTGATACATGTGTTGAATAAACCCTTCGTAGTGGATTATCCACAACAGCGCGGATTCGGATTACCTGTAATGAATGTATTGAATTTCTAGCTCAGACCTAATTCGACTAGTAGTGAATTTCATTAACGAAGCATCATTTACTTCACAATCGTGTCCCTGGCATGGCTTCTGGACAATGGAAAATGTTCGAAATGTAAAGCCGTTATCAGCTGATTGACTTCTTGAACCCCTCGACCAAAATCTTCCAAAAGTCTTTGACGGAGAACTTTTCTTATATCGTACCGATTTTGTTGCTAGAAATCTTAGCCTCGAATAAATTTTCATTGATGTTCATTTAAACGGAGCAATACATCCAAATTAAGTTCGAAAAGAGAGAAACTGCGAAAACTTTGCCACGAGAGCACTTTATCTTCCTCGAAGGCGTTCACAGTTTGCGCGTCATCAGCTAATGGGCCACGCGAAACATACGAATCGATTGCAGCCACGCCCTAGTGCGCAGCGTGCAGCGACGGTTCCTCTCATCTGACAAAGGGACATTATACGGCGATGACATTTTGCCAACTATGGCTGCTATGATCGCAGCCAGCTTCATGGAGTGATCATCGCCATCCCCGAAACAGACTCTAGTCATAAAGCTTCAGCAGGAATAGGGGGAAAAGGTCATAGAAATGCTTCGAAAAAACAATATTTTGACAGTCACCAATGCAAATGTTAATCAAATGAGGGTGAAGAACGTTCTACTGATTTTAATGACGTGTTTGCCTTATCAGTGGAATGGCATAATCAGTTTTGCTGACTCTGACGCTTTTCTTACACCTATGACACTCTACTCTTGAAACGTATCAATGAACATGAATAGGAACCAAGATCTTCAGTAGTTGCTGTTTGTAAACGTTGCTGAACAGAGGGCGTTGCTTTATACGGGTTGTTTACCAAGCTTCTTCTATTCCAAAATCCGTGAAAGCAGTTAAAGCAGCAGTGCTTTCAGAGTTCATATACGTGCGTTGTTTCAAAGGACGAACGACCCAACGCGTTGCTGGCCACGCGCTGACAATACAGGACAGGTAGCGTCCACGGCTGCGTGAGCAGTATCGATCGATGTCCTGCGTTGTCAACGCGTGGTCAGCAACGCTGTCGGTCGGTTGCACGCCGTTTGAAACAAACCATTGAACTCTGAAGGCACCCACTGGTGGAGCGAGATTATGGATTCTGGAGCCAGACAGTGCCATTGTTCACAATAAGGTGTCTGGTGCCTGCCTGTGGACCCAATAAAAAGTAGATCTGCAGATTGGTGGTTGTAATCGAGCATTCGTTGGATCATAGTATAATAGTGCAGGTTGAAGGTCTTTGGAGTGATGGAGGTGGTGTAGTGGGAAGCGGTGCACTGTCCCAATCGCATGGTCACGGTCCCGCATCGGCATCCGCCCCGGCAAACCAAGCCTTCCATCCTTACAAGGTAGAGACTTGATCCTTCATCTTCTTAAGTGTTCTGGAGCAAATCTATCCCAATTTAGGAGGCGCCCCGCGTTCAATTCCATTAGGAATCATGGGAGCGATTTGAATACGTATGTGGCCGAGTCTGGCACCAATTCACCGACCTCGGAGAGATAGAAGGCTTGGTTGGTCTAGGCGGTTGTCGATCTGAGATTCGAACCCATGACCATGAATGTGTGATAGTGTGCTACTTGCCACTTCACTACTTCCACCCTACCATGAAGAACATTGGGACTAATAAAATATCGAGCGTATTGATTCACTTATTCATTTGGCTTTCGTGTATATTGTATCTGGTGGCAACTACTTCTTGAAGGGAGCAGGAAAAGAGAAAAGAGAAAAGAGGTAATGAAAACCACCACTCCCAGCTACACACAGACATCGTTCATTTGCTGGCGTCTATACATGGAGTCACAAGAAATTCATTTTCAACTTTTCTTGTCCATAAGGTACATGTTGTTGCTACTTCGTTGAGCTGACTGGGTAGTACTAGCACAGGGGAATATGGATAGGTCCTATAACGAACGACTCATAAAAACCAAGCAGTTACGGTACAAAACCACATGGCTATCACGGAAAACTCGTCCTCTAATTTCTTCCAGTTGTAAACTTAGTCATGAATAAAGTCCAGGGCTGAAAATAATGTGACTAAATGTTGAATGATTTTGCTAATTTCAATCGAAGCTTAATTAAGGGTTATGTAAGGACCTATGGTGTAAGGTTTGAGACCGAGCTGCTTAAATGCCCAAGTAGCTTTGTCACGTACCTTTGCCCCCTCCCCTGAGCCTTTCCCCTGGGGCGGGATTCTGATGAACCCTACCCCATGGGGAAGGCTACTTTTTTCTCACTACTCTTCATTAGAAGACGACATCTTTCGTAGCGAATGCTTGATGTGACCTGCTCGAAAATATGCTCCAATGATGGTCCCGAAACGATCGGAGCCCTATGCGCTCCTTTAAATTGCGTCAACAAGCGATTTGAGAAGCTGCCGGTTGTTTTCGACAAGCTTACCTATTCTTAACGTCTTTATGGTATTTTATTGCAATTCTTTTATGCTCTGGTGATCGCTCGATCTTAAAAGGTTTGAGGGGCAGGGCTATGTGGGAGTTTTGGTCTTTTTAGTGAGATTACATCCCCTTTGATTAGATAATTGTTTTTGCTGCGTTGCTTGTAAGCTTTAGGAAAAGGGTTACAGGTGTCTTGAGGTATAATTGATCGCGTAGTCAATTTCAATGGCTTTGCTTTGTATCGTATATAGGAAAATGTGTTCACTCAAGGAAGCCACTTCAAATAATCGAAGGCTACTTCTGCGCGTAGTAGAACTTCGAAGCCGTTGACATCGATGATTTGATGAATTTTCATGAACATTATCTGAAAAGTTTTATTGGACAGCAAATTTCCCAAAAAGATAGATCAGGAGTATTTTTTGTTGTCCGAGTATTCTTCGTATGTGTGGCATTCTTAAGCGCTTATTGTACAAATTGGAATTGAAGTAGGAAGCTTTCATCATTCCTCTATAGTAAACAGTTTTCAGATGAAGTCTGTCGCTCTGCTTCGGTCTGTCTCCCGACTTGCGAGCAAAGCTGTGAGAGTGAACCTCGCTTGTCGTTATCCAGTCCGTGCAATTTCAACATCCCAGAGAGGTAAGCGTTCATTCCTGTCGGTATTCGTTACTTCCACTCTGTTCAGCCTGAATTTTTCATCTCCATTGTTTCCAATTTCTTCATCTTGCAGCTTTCAATGTCACTCCTGAACTATCCCAAGCACTGGCTAGAGAGATCGAGGCGGAACAACAGCTATCTCAAGAAAACCTTGGCGGATCTGCTGCGCCTTCTTTCCCAGGTTTCAAGCTAACAACTAAGGAAGCAGAAGTACGCCTAACGAAGGAACATGGAAAGGAAAGGTTTGTTCCTATATCTAGAACACTAAAATGGAGTTGGAATCGTTCCGGATATGGTTCGAATAAGGATGCGTCAAGGCTTTATCTATGGGTTTTCAGCATTCTCGTTGTCTTCAACGTCAACCATTCTGTAGATATGGATGAAGGATACGAAGATGAAGCTCAGCCTGAGGTACGTTTGTTTGGAGGAAACTAGAAGCAACCAACTTCATACTCTTCGTTGATAAAAAAAANAAAAAAAACCTTCCACTGTGCATCATTCGCAAAAATAACGGAGCCACGTCTTAGCGGATTTAAAGCGCTTCCCTTTCAAGAATAGCACGTGACAATTTTTCTTTCTGCCTCTAAAACTAGACTAGAACTAAATGTTCTCACCTCCCATTCGTTCTAGCTATCATACACTAACTTACAATAGTAACAGAACTCTTCTAGAAAGTCATCCACCGTACTGTTTGGTAATGATTATAATTCCAAGTTGGGACTGGCGCACCAATTACGATATTTCATGTTTTTGTGCGGGATCCATTCACAATACATCGTTGTAAATCAAAGCAAAAAACGTAGAGGTTCTCGTTGTGCAGTGACGTAGGAAGATGAAAAAGCACTACCAATGGGAATAGAGACGAACCGTTTTCGTACCCCCAATCTTTTTATCGTTTTTTCTTCATTCACAATAATATTCTAAGAAGGCTACGAGATTATTCCTCAGGAATCAATACTGTGCACGATATTTGAGGCCATGTTTACACTTACACTGTTTGCGTGGACCATTGCGCTAGGAAGCTACGCGCTATGGTAAGCGTTTGAGTTTCAGGCCGCTCCTGTGCCTGTTGCATTGCCTCCATTCACTGTTGAAATTACTAAGGGAGACGAACGTCTGTGTTTCCACTTAGAACTCGTGGAAAGCGTTGACGTGCAAGGAGAATGTGAGTCCAGCTGTTGTTTTCAAAAATTTAGACGTCGGCTAACTTGGAATTCACTACTTTTTAGTGAACAATTTGGGTTTTTTAAGTCGTTCTATTCAGATGATTTCCGGGTAGAGGAGTTCTACGTAGCACCAGCTGTCAAAGACGGTAACGAGGATGTAGCTCCAGAAGTCTATGCGAGCAGTGGCAAATACATAGACCCTGTGAGTTTCTATTTTACAAGGACCAACAGAAACGTACAGCCCATTTCGGCTTTTCGAATACAACGGAATAAGAACACCAGACGTATTTGTAATGTGGCGTTTCCAATCTTCTGCTTTATGAAACTTCAAATCAAAAAAAAAAAATCAAAAATCAAAACAAACATGGCTGCCAGTTCTTTGTTTGGCATAAAATGAGATTCGTAACTTGATGAGCGTCATGTCATTTTGAATTTGGAAGTTATCACCAACCTTTCGACAAACAGAATGATCTGTTAATTCTGGAAGTTAATTGTTCAGTTTTTTGCTGATCGTGTGCAGTCAGCTTTATACTCCAATCAATATCCCAATTCAGGACTTGCACGATTTGCTATTTGTTCGTTACTTGGAAGAACGTGGGTTCGATGCTCAGTTCTGCAAGACTCTCGTCGCCTATGCTACGCATTATGAGCACTCGCAGTACGTGGGTCTACTCAATAGGATCAAAGCGTTCGTGTCGAAATAGATCTGAGTACATGCTTTCATCGTTTCCATATATTTAAACCTTGTAGTTAGCTAATTAGTTTAATTGTTCTCATATTTGTTAGAATTTATCCGTCAGTTATATTTTGTTAATCTCTTGTTACAATCGTTCTCTTATTTGCGCCCCGTTTTTGTTGAGAGTGATGAATTTTGGAAGTTGCTTGAGTTTACCTAAAAGATTTACTACAAAAAAAGAACTCAGTACAAAATCTGTTAATTTTTAAGTCATCGATGCCTCGTTTCTATGTTTGGCTTGAATTTGAAGAACATATAACACAGGAAATTCAATTCGTTTGAGGAGGCAGCATGGCAGCTTTGAAATCTTCTTTATATTTGTTCACTTTATCCTTGAATTTGGGACATTTTGTCTGAAATGAGGGTATTGAGGTGTGTTAATTGTTCGAAATGCTAGGGTGGTACAAACCTGAATGTAGTCAAGTACGCTGAGTACGATGAATACATACTGTTCTTCTGATTGTATACATGATGCTCGTTGATTTCTCAGTTTTCGGAACAGGTCTGCCAACTGAAATTCGATTTGATTGCTAAACTTTGGAAGTTTTTTTTGGGTTGTGAAAACTGAATACTGCCTAAACAAGGCATCTGAACTCACATTAACTTCTTTGCACCTGAAGAGCCGCCTTAGAATAACGTCAATAAGGATTATGGTACCGGTCCGGCCAATCCCCGCAGAACAGTGCATTATAATGGGGCCGTTCTCAAGTTTGTCGCTCTACAATTGAAGCCTTTAAACTTTTTCAGATTGAAATCTCTGGCCGTTACATTGCGTATGAGATACTCACACGGACTTGACGAATAATCCGCAACGCATGGCGCCCACTCAACGGGAGGCCACGGTCTGGCCAAGTGGTCATGTGCAGCACCTGAATACACAGCTCGAGTGGGGAACTATTTATAGATTGCTACCAAATTTTGTCAACGGCTTTGTTCAATCCCCATGCGTTTATGCGGATCTGATCCGAAAAGCTATACTGGTTACGAAAACCATTAATACCTTCACTATATTTGAATTTGAACAACCTTCCGGCAGAACCTCCACTGTATAGATTACGAATCTTCCTTCTGTTTCTACCTAGAAA